GCCCCAAAACGACAGCAGGTCTGAGCACCTCTGTACTCTGAATGTGGCCTTCCGGGAGGGTGCGCTCATGGCACGCGTAAGACGGCAGCACGGTCTCGTCATCGGAGCAGAGTGGGCGAGGAAGGAGATGGTGTGATAGGTACTGCGCAAGTCAAACGCATTACAAATTAATTCACGCGTAAGTCATAGGTACTGCGTGTACCTCGTTCCGGACATGACAGGAAATGGCCCTTGCGGTATCTCCTCCTTAAGGCGTGTAACCAGGAAGACGAGTTTCTGAACGCTGGTTATGTTTGTCTGAGGTAACAGAGCACATGTAAGAAGTCGAAGTCTCCTGTGTTAGTCAGTACAAGTATCTGCAATTTCCATGGCTGAGATCAGTTCCTGTAAACGTGGATAGAAGTCCTAGGTAAGGCTCAGGAATCTTTACTTGTTATTTTGGACATAGAGCATGTCTGATCCGATTACCAACAGAAACAAACTCACCCCGTTATGCCCTGTAGCTCGAAGCCAACGACTTCCCAAACGCTATCATAGCAACAGATAAGGACGCAAAATAAATCCCAAAAGGTCCGTTTCTGGTCGATTGGTCCTCATCGGCCAGTTACACCGTTTGAGTGAGTAAACTTAAATCAGTCTAGAGCCTTAGAAGTCATAGTAAGGAAAGCTGGACCGTGGGAGTCGAGATATGGGTGACAGTCCATGTAGCCAGGGTAGTCTACGTACGCAAACTTGGATTCTTCGGGCTTCGTTATGCAGTAGCCCACTCTAGGAACGTTTAGAACCCCAAAAAGGTGTATGTTAGCCCTAATTTATTCAAAGATCTTCTCCGTGATCTTGATTGTGTCCTGTCAGCGGAAAATGATGCAAACGGAAGACAGCGGTGGTTTCGCTATTGCAAAGGACCTGCTGGCGATACTTCGGGCTACAGTTTTTTGCAGAGAAGACTGTTTTCGTTAAGAATGGCCCGCGATAGTCGTGGTCATTGAAGTATACCGTTTTCCTATGCCTCCGAGATAAACGTCCGTATGATGGATGAGAGTTCGGGAGGGGCCGTTTTTTTCTCATAAAAATTCACAAATCCCATTCAAACTTCTAGAGTTTCCGGAAAACGCCCAAGGTGGTTTTTCACTGTCTGCTCTCTTTTTTGATTTTGCTCCCCTCACTGGCTCGTGTCATTGGGCATCGTCAATATGCTGAGGTACTACTTCCGAAGTAACAACTGCACAAGTTTGCTCCTTCGCTCTAAGATTTTGTATGCCTCCTTAGTTTCATTTACCTGGACAGATACATCACACGCTCTTGTACTTATTGATACATTTAAAACACTTTTAATGCCACAACGTGCATACAAATAAATAACGAGTTCAAAGTTACACATCTACATTTTCCTCAAATAAATTGAATTAAACTTGAGATTACTTTTCGAAGGTAGGTCGTAAATCTTTTTTTCCGGTGAAAGTGTTCTTAAAAGGTGCTTGTCTGTCATGGAAAGGCTGTTCTTGTCAATAAATATCTGAATACTAATGGGAATTCCAATGATTTTAGTCTACAGACAGTTTCTGTCTAGTCTCTTTCATTGTCCTGAAGTGCCGTCCGAATCAAAAAATTTCCCTAACTGAAGAGTTTGGGGTCTTCCTATGTCCGGTTCAGTCAACTTTTTCTGCAGGTAATTTGACTCCAAATACGATAGCTGGAAGCACCGAGCGCCCCATTTGAGGGATTTTTTTTGAGAAAATAGTCTGAAATCATGGGCAAATGACATGATATACTGTGGTCAGTCCAAGAGTAATGGGAAGGATAAATGTATTGAAGCCTGTCTCCCGTCAGCCGTAATAGCAAAACGACTAGTCCTCTCTAATAGAAGCTCGAGTTTAAAAGAAGATGATGAGGGAAGAGGAAATTTATTGGGTTGACGTTTGGATTTTTACTTGAGCTCAGCATCAGGGGTAGGCTTTACTGATGGTTTCGAGTTAGAAGCCGAAACCCCGGGCCAGTAAACTTCTTGTTCTCCTGAACTATAACTCGCCTATTCGCTTCTGTTGGAAGCTCCTGCCGCAACACACAAAGGGAAACGGGTTTAACAGTTTAGCCTTGTCGTACTTATTGAACACGCACCTCCGACTTAGCGTCAGATGCTATCCACAATTGACCTCCTAATTATCTGGCAAATTTCGCATACTTTTTAGGTCAAAGCAGAGGACAAGGCTGCTCTGGGTCAGGAAGAACATATATCCGACGCATCAGTCATCAATCTTTCCCTCCACGCTCAACCGCCCGCATCAGACTGCGCCAATGACGTCTCTGACGGTTCATCGTTGAACAGTTTCAGAGATATGACTGCACCCGATCCGCTGCCACCGACGACAGCAAGCCTGTCCTGGCCTCCCAAACCGACGTACTCCCAGCGCTTCGGCACTTTCATGCCCCTGCCAAAGGCCTCTGTAGGCGCCGCAGCAGCAGTAAATGAGGATTTTGAGGTGGAGGAGACGGAGCAGACGGAGGGCAGCGTCCTGAACGACA